TTTCATATCATAGCTTCAAGTTTGAACATACCTTCATTGAAATCTTATAGAGTTTATGTTGATATGTTTTTGTGAAAACTTTTAAGTGGTACTATTTATTGTTTACTTGTGCCAAATCTATTGTTTTAAAGTTCCCAACTTTAATACCAGAAGACCACAAAGGTTTGTTCAGAAGTTAGAGAAACATTTGTATACAGCCAATAACCCTATTATCAGAATGTGAATAGCTGAAATTAACTGATAATTGCTTCGTAAGAGAAAAATATTGATACATACTTCTCACATTCTCACTGCTGGTAGGCATTGTTGTAAACAATGACGTTTAGTTCCTTTTCAGAGATATTATGGGGAGCAAAAATTGGCAAAACATATTCTCAGAGTCAAAGGTGTTAAGCAAACATCATTTTGTTCAAACCATAACATGTATTGCACAGAATCTTATATAATAAATTATATGAAATTATCAAGAAACATGTTCCTAGAAAACTTCATTATTCTTCATCTTATCCAATTTGGTTTTCTAAGGATTTGATAAACATGCTTCAGGAGAAATCGCACGCTCATTCAGTTTAAACTATCTCGAAATGTTAATGATTATACTATCTGATTTGAGGAAAAAATGTAAAGCGAAACAAGCTCAGGATTATTCTGATAATTTAATTGGAATTGAAACTTCTATCGATCACGGCATTAAATCATTTTGAAAGTACGCTAAAGCTAAGAGAAAAATTTCTGACTTGCCAAATTCTATGTTTTTTTCGAAATAAAACTGCGGCTTCACCTCAACAAATTGTAAATTTATTCGCAAAATTTTTTGAAACTGTGTATAAAAATGACGATATTCCAACTATTAGAAATTCAAATCAAGACTATAAACTGGTTATTAGCTTTATTGATATAACTCAACGTGATGTTTTTAATGCTATTGATAAATTGAAAACAGACACTTCTCCTGGCCCTGATGGTATAACATCATTATTATTGAAAAATTGTTATGTGAATCTGATACCAATCCTACACTTTTTATTTATTAAATCTCTGCGAGAAGGAACCCTTCCAAAGATGTGGAAAACCAGTTATATTCACAAAATTCACAAAAAAGATAAACGTTCTAACGTTGAGAGTTATAGACCAATCTCTAAACTTTGTATAATTGCTAAATTGATGGAACCCATCATAACAATTAAATTGACGCAATTTCTAAATCCAATTTTGATCGAGGAACAACATGGTTATCGTAAAGGGAGCTCTCCTGTTACTAATTTGATGACTATCCAACATTATATACTTGGAAATTTAGATATACAAAAACAAGTAGATGTAATTTATACAGTGTCTTCCAAAGCCTTCGATACTGTAAACCATGTTCTTTTACTTCATGTGTTGGAAGAAATTGGTATCCATGGTACAATCTTGAATTGGTTCTATAGTTACTTAACTGGGAGAACGCAGAATGTGAAATATAAATCCTTCGTTTCTAGAAATATATACGTCACATCTGGAGTCCCACAAGGTTCCCACTTAGGCCCACTATTATTCATTCTATTTGTAAATGATCTTAAGAAAACGCTTCCATATTCAAAATTCCTACTTTTTGCTGATGACTTGAAAATTTATAAAACTATAAATTCATTACAAGACTGTTTCGATTTACAATGTGACTTAAATACATTGTTAGATTGGTGTTCATCAAAATGTTTGAAATTGAATAATGGTAAATGTAAGTCCTTGTCTTTTACTAGATCTAGTAATCCCATTGTATTCAATTATGAACTAGGAGATGCAATGTTGGAATCAGTCTCATACTTAAGGGATTTGGGTGTAATTTTTTATCAAAAAATGAGTTTTCATCTACATATTGACAATATTATTAATAAATCAAATCAGATGTTAGGATTTGTGAGACGTATTGCATCTGAATTTACTAATGTGCAAACCATCAAAACTTTATATTTAACTCTAGTAAGACCGATATTATTATATGGCTCACAAATATGGTCTACCTTTTACCAGAACCATATCTCTAGCCTTGAAACTATTCAGCTCAATTTTTTTATTTTTGCTGCCTTCAAGCTTGATATTCCATCTCTTAGATTTAGTCACAATAATTTCCAAGTCGCTACTAGACTGAATATTAGCTCATTACGCTCCCATAGGGATTATTTTGATGTACTTTTTCTGTATAATTTGATAAATCATGATATAGACTCTTCAGAATTACGTTGTAAAATTCCTTGGGCTAATCCAGTGCGTGGTCTGCGTTCTACAAACAGTGTGTTATTTAATATTCCTTTTGCGAGATCAGCCTACTATTATGTGCCATTATGGAAAATGTGTAGAAGTACCAACTGTAAACACATTAACTTATATTGTTCACCTTATCAATTTTTAAAAAACTTATAAAAACCTGTTACTAAATGATTTTCAATAATACTGTAATGTAAATGATATTTAATAATTGGGCGATTGCCTGTAATTATATGTATATAAATAAATAAAAAAGAATGCATATAAAACTGATAAGCATAATTATGCACACTGGGTCTGAATGTGTTAATTCAATTATTAATTAGCAATAATTTATGATAGTGGAATGTGGAAATAAATGGATCTCTGAGTTAATTACTAAACAATGTGACCTCTGACACATTCTCATCTATCTAATGCAATGTTTGAAGTACCAGTAGTTTTGTATTTAAAAAATTGAACATTGTATTTGTAGTTTTGATGTTGTCCCCCTCCCTTTTTGCTCTTCAATGAACTGCAATATGCTTTACAATGATGTCAAGCTTCTGATTGACATATGACATAAGTGCTTTCTTGAGAGAGAACTCTTCTTTTAAATTACACCTTTTAATGCTAGGGAATTTTGAATGTTGAAACACATTTATTTAATCTTAAAAAACTATAAAAATTGTATTTTAAGTTCCAGTGGAAATTATGCTGCGGTGTGTCTAGGACCTGACTTTGAGATAAACCATGCATATTTTTTCACTTCCTTTTTGTCATGATGATTACCCATTGGAATTAAATTTCTGCCATTGTTTAAATGATGTTTTGTACTACAAATTCTGTTTTCAATTCACTAACTTCAATGGAAAAGATAATATTTTTGCTCTGATGCCTTTTGTCACTGTATTCAAGTAGGAATGGTTACAATGCTTAACTTCTCCACTGATTCCGCTCATTAGGGCTAGGATCCTCACTACTCTGATTTTTATGCAGTGGATAATTCAAAAATATTCTGTTGAAACATTCTGTTCCTTATTGACAAAAAACAGTGATGCATGCTGAAAACAAATCAAGTAACTTCCTCTAATCAATGCATACAAATAGGTATGTTATAATGGAAGTTAATCTGACTGATTGAACATATACACATTTTGAAGAAATATTTGATATAAGGCTTCACATTGTTACCCAATTCTTCTGTATATGCCCTTTATTTGTGTAATTGTTCCTCTGTGCCACACTGGTATAGTGTTCAAGGGGATAAATGAAAAATATGAGATTCAAGGGAAATCATGTCTTCAGCAAGAGAAATCAGTCTTCTCTATTAGCAGAGTTTTACCAACAAGAAAAACAAATTCCCTAAAAGGAAATAATACGAACTTCAGAGAAATGTTCAATGCTTTATTAATAATAGAAGGGCTCAGTAGAACCTATCACATTTTTTTGTGAAATTTGAGTTATTAGTATTCAAAAATTATTTTTTTAGTATCATGTTATTTAAGTGTGTATGGACCTAAATGCAAGTGTACTGTATTTAAAAGTTGAAAAGTATACACAGCTGTACTATGAAAGTGTTATTGAAACCCTCGATATCTCAATACTAAGTCAATGCGGGATACCCCCTTGTTCTGCTAAGCCCTTCAATTCTGCCTAACCCTGAAGAGACAAATTTACAACCTAAAATAGGCAAAAAGAGAACTTTAAAATTGGTATTTAAGAACTCCAGTTTGTGGAAAATTGAACTAAACAATTGAAACATTTAAAAAAATTGAAATATAGCTAAAGAAATATGCATTTGCATGAAAATCTGACTAATTACACTCTTTATTCATTATATTGTATTGATGGAAAATAGGGGGGGGTCTATTGAAATTTCATAATTATTTATTATTCAAAGTTATTTTGTTTTTCATGAAAGAATGATCAAATATTTTTTTGGTTATCTTTGAATTTCACTTGCAACTGGTTGATAAGAGGCATTCGTTTTTGTTGAGGTGCCATAGTAACAGTTTGGAGAATTAAAATCAATAGTTACGTTGCCATGGGAATCATTCCAATTTAACGCCAATCATTATGACAGGTCTTGTTTTTGCTCGTGTGAAGTGCGTTAAGTTTTTTGTGATTGAACAAAAACATCCTGAACATGGAAAATTTGGTAAGGAAAATATGTACATTAAAGAAAGATTTGAGATTGAGAATTATGTATGTTATTAAAATATGTTTATCTGTCCTCTCGCACCAAAAGTGCAGTTGAGTAGTGAAGCATCATTGCATCTAGATTGTTACTTTTTAAATTTTTTTTATAGCAACAATTACAACTTTTTGTTGTTGATCATTTGTAATACAAAAGTTTTATATATGTAACTGCATTCAATTCTTTCACATATTCCTTGGTTAATTTTATTTGAAAATAATCTCGATATTTTTGGCTGAACAAAGTCTTATTGAGTTTGGAAATAAAAGGTTGAAAGACAGAAGGGGGAAGGGGGAGAAGAAAGAAAGAAAAAAGTCTTGCTAATGCCAAGAGTATGATATGATGTTAAGAAGCATTCTCAAATGTGCAACTACTTACATTGATTGTGCAGTGATAGTTTGAAGTGCTAGGAAGGTAACACATACTAGAATTTTGCATCTTTATGCAAAACATTGAGTTAACATTTTCCCATTAATTTATGTAAGAGAAAATTTAAAATAAAATACTTTTAAAACTGTGTGATCACGAATGTGGAGAGATTCAAAGGAATTCATGGCAATTTCTTCTTTTGCAGGGGCAGATGCATTGCAAACAGAGGAATTGTGTTCCTCAAATGCCAGTAGTCCATCTGTTGCCTCTGGCTTCTCTGGAGAAGCAAAACCAAGGGGGAAGAAATCATATCATGCTGACCTCTCGAATCCAGCTTACAGAAAACCGTTGGAAATGGGTGAGTGGTAATTATTGTTTTGTTCAAGTACTTAAAAGAAAGAAAAAAATTGTTGTATTTATCTCATTGAGAATATCTCTAAGAAATGTTCTTCAAAACATAGTTTTAGAGTTGATAGAATATGGATTCCAATTATATTTTCTTTTTGTAGGTTGGAGGCGTGAACTTGTTTTTAGAAAAATGTCTGATCAATCTCAGAAACGATTGGCTGATGTTTATTATTATACTCCTTCTGGCAAGAAAGTTCGATCTGCACGTGAAGTTGCAGAACATTGTAAGTAATTATTACATATTGTGTTTATTTAAATTTTTAACCCTTCCTTAAAATATGTTGTGGTGTTTAATTGAATATGTAGAGTTAAACCCTTCATGTGGGTCTCCAAGGAGTTTTGAAAGAAAAATAACAATTCAAAATGTTGATACCAGGGTACCCAATAGGGAACAGTGTGCCTTCTAGTTTCAAGTGTTGAAGATTTCAATGTGAGAGATGTGGAGGGTTTACCGAATTGAAGTATGAAACACACATAAATAGTATGGAGATGTGATGCTTGGTATTATCCTCAGACAATAAAGTAATATTCAAAATTTGCATGGTCTCCTCAATGGTGTCGAATGCAAAATATCAATTTTGGAGAAATATTCCTACTTGCAGTTTGAAAATAAATGCTGGTAATGAAAAGACATACTTTTTGGAAAAAGCATTTGGGATCTCAAAACGTGCATTGACAGTTCATGCCATAAGTACACAGTAAGTACGTACAGTAAGTGCATTGACAGTTCATACTTTACACTTTTCAGAGGAACGATGGAAAAAAATAAAATGCCCAAAAGGTAAAAAAACGATAGGGTAGTCAAGTTTTTACATTATTTACTGCAATGGTGGCTTTGCTTTTACTTTCACGACCTTACTTCATAGGAAAATAATTATTATAATAGTGCATCAGAAAACGACTAATTTTCAAAAGAAAAACTCTTATTGACAGATCCTGGCAATGAAAAAGTGATAAAATCATGTTCCTGTATATAGAAAATTACTACTTCTAACATGTGGTGTAGCCAGAATCTGCGTTTTGCGAGTACTTGAAAACGAAAAATTAGTTGGATGCAAAAGTCTGTTTGCCCGCCTATGGTCAATGCTCGTGCCAAATTTGGCAAATTTTCTCCAAAATTGACTTTCCCTGGTTGATCCAAATGAATTTGAAGTTTTTCAATCTTCTTGCTACAGACTTGTGTAGCACATTTGTGTTAGTTTACTACATATTGGAGCAGGATTTATCCACTTTTTCTGTATCAGTATGAATTTTTCTGTCATCATTGCACATCTTTCTTTGCACTACTTATATTTCTCCATATAATAAACACAAGTGTATGACAAATAAAAAATGAACTGAAAATAATGAATGTAAAGTTAAAAAGCACTCTCCATATCAAGTTGTAAATTGCAGGAAGCGTAAATATAGACTTTGCGACCGGACCAACAAAGAATTATGTAAAAGGCAGGAAAAGCATAAAATGTAATGTAAAAATGGGGTATTATTGTGTATTGATTTTGCTGACAAATAATTCTTTAAATATTCCAAGATTATTATTAGTATTAGTTATGTGATTCCTAATAAGACAGAATTTTCCAGTTTACTTACAGCTCTTTTTTTTTTATACAAAATACTACAGTACTTCCTTGCTTAAGAAAAGGATGTAAGTAACGTACGGTTGTGTAACTAGCACAAAGAAATGTTTTTGTAATGTACAAAACAGAACGAAATTTTCATTTCCAAATCTGGAAAACCAAAGAGGGGTGGGAGAACTTGAATTCCAAAATGGCAGATTGCTGGTGAGATTCAGTTGCAGGATATCAGTATAAATTTTTTGTTGCCATTATGTTGTATTGTCATGTTGCCAAAGTTTCATTGACAAATAAATTATTGGATGCTGTTACCCTTCGGCTGTGGCATCACAGTGATTTTGTGGAGAGTTTGCTGTAATCATATGGATTGTTATGAAATAGTTACTCCTTTTAAGCAGCTTTCAGTTACAAACTTTCGCATAAATATGGAAATTTATGATTTCGACAAAACAGACCAATCCAGGTACAAAACATATTCACAAGTTTAAAAATAAGACAGCAGTAAGAAGGTATTTTTAATACAAACATTTTGCTTCTGCATCAGTCTCAGGATGAACTGATCTTACTGCCATTTCTTATTGTTTGCAAACTCTCATAGTTGCATTTTTGGCTTGGCTTGTTTCATTAGTTTATGTATTTTAAAGTAATCCCTGCCTTTTGTTTTAGTATCTGGTACGGATCTCACTGATGAGAATTTCACTTTCTTCAAAATGGCTCTGGGTTTGAACGATCCAACAAAAGAAATCATTAGGGATGCTAAACTTAGGGTAAGTACTAAAAATTTCAATTTCTGTTTCCATAATTTCGTGTGTGTGTGTGAGAGTGTTTTTTCCCCAAACTATAAAGAATATTATTAAATCTCTTAATATTTACCTGTTCAATTCTTTATTATATATTTATGAGTTAATCAGAAGACCCTAAAAGCATGAACTTCAGTAAGTTTTGAATATAAAAAATTAATTTTGTATTAATCATGTGTACTAACATTGTATAGGAAAAGAATTTTGTTTCAATGCGTTGCGTTGAAAGACTGAGAAAGTTGAAAATTAATAAAATTAAGTAAACTTAGTGTTACTACAGAAAAGATAATAGAGTATGTGTACTTGGGCTACATTATCATATATGACACTGTTTGCTCTATACATATGTAACACTTATTGAAAAATTGTGTACAGTGGACTGTAGCGAAAGACATGCCCTCAACAGGCCCTCTGCAACCTGTTGTCAGTGAAGCAAAAATATTTTTAATTAATACAGTCGCAAGCAAATGCAAGTAATGAATTCCAATTGAATTTAAATAATATTTAAACTTTTAGGTGTGAAATAATACACCATATCACAACAAAATACTACAACATACCACAAGAAAGTACTTACTGTTGTAGCCCCCACTAGTTTTGCACTTTAGCAGTGTCCCAATTTAACTGATGTAGATTGAAAAGTAAGCAGATTAATCTAGGGAGATGTCTATTAATAAATATCACTTGTACAGTGTACCAGGAAAGCTCTCTTCAGTGTTATCATACTGGTGAGAGTGCTACCAACAGAAATTGTGTTGGTATCATGAGCGTCACCCGAAAGGGGGTGCAGGTATTGGATGGAGGGGGGGAGGTGAAGCGTGCACGAGTAACAACGCTGTGCGAGTTGGCAAAGTTGAGTGCAGAAGTGGCGGCAGCAACAGGCTCGGTTTAGTGTGGAGAGATTTTCTTGGCACAGTGCTTTTGTGTCATGAGTGATATAAATAAAAAATCTACCAGCTGAGTGAGTTACGGGGCAAAAGTTATTGTCACTGCAGTGCTTCTGACTGAAAGAGTTCGAATCCTGATGTTGATTGATTTTGACAACAAATTGATGCTAGGTCGAATTCATTTGCCATGGAGGAGACCACCTAGTGTAAGAGTGCTCTAAATGGTAGTTTTTTTGGGGTTTCTCTGATCAGTACCAGCCAAAACCTGGATGTGTATCCTACCAAATTGGCCGATGATCCTTCCTTCCTCCTCCCCCCCACTCCCTTTACACCCACAAACACACTACCTTGCAGTATGCGACATTACAGTTAGAGTTTACACTTGTTGGGGCAGTGCCCCATTGAAAGGGAAATCTAGAGGTAGTATCACCCCACAAGCAAATATGAGCTGGTGCTGGCTCATGTTCTAGTAGTAGGAACGTAACACTTCCACATCTTATTATATAACATTCACTGTACTTATGGGACTACCTCAGCAGTTGATACACCTGGGAATGTCACACAATAAAAAGTCTTGTTTTCCTCTTTTGTGTGATGATTTTTCTACCACACAAATATGTTGCATAGCAGACAGCTTTAGATTTGCTGTGGCGAAACTATAAGTGGGGTCAGGTTGGCTGTTATGAGTTGCGAGTTCAGAATATCATTTTTCCCCGATTAAATGATTGCTAAAGTTTATAAAAACAACTATATCTCACATTTTGAGATCACTGAACATACTTTCTGCCAATTACATGTTATTTCAAAATGTAATGTGAACATCATTGGGTTTTTCAAGAGATAGTTCCATTCTCTTATTCCATATGCTCTTGATTCCATTTTGATCCATTTAGAGCCAAGATTTTAGGTCTATTAGAAAAATCTATTATCTAATATATCTGATGTTTTCTGTATACTAACACATGCTGACTTTAGCTGGTGTGATGCTGGTAATAACATAGTTACAAGAGGAACATTGTAGGAACGTATGCCACCATTCTACAAGACATTATAAGCAGTTGTCACCAAAGTCCATGTCCACGTAAATGTTATACTTTTATTTGGGCAATGAAACTGCTGATTTTTCTCTTTTGTACAATAAAATTCAATACACTAAATGTTTGATCTTTCTTTTTAGAGGAATAGCACTTGATGCATTTTGCGGACAAATTACTTTGGTATAATCCTCACCGCCATATGCAGTTTCGTAGACCTTCCTACATAGTCAGTGTTCTTGTGTGCCTAGAAAATCTGAAAATGCCAGGAAAGGTGCTCAGTGCTCATGCAATCTGCAAAAGTCAGGATTCTAGTTGAGCACTAGAAAGTACTAATTTATGATAAAACTGAGATGTCAAAAATTAAATGTTAGAAAAATAATTATCTTTTTATTTTATTTATAAAAATGCTTTGGGTACACCATTTCATTTTACATAGCATAATTCACAATACTTCTGGAAAACAACAGGAAGGGGGTTGTATTATGGAAATTGTATATTTTCTTAATTATATCAATTTAACTACCAAATACTCTGAAGTGAATTTAAAATTTCATACTATTATCGTTTTCCTAGTATTTACATTAATGTTGTATGGTTGGACATTTTTAAAACGTTTTATAGAAATAATCAATTTTTTCTTTAGATTTTTTTCTCTAAAAGAGCTAAGAATACTTATAAAAATTGTGCAAGCTTTATTTTCAGTAAAGTCTCAGCAATTTTGAAAATTGGCAAAATACACATTTTTGGGAGCTCTTACTGTTCTATCGAAAATGCAGAATTTTTGTTTGTTCTTCAATATTAGAACTTTAAATCATTTGATGTAGTATTTTTCTTTCGAAATATGAGTAGTTTTCGTATAATTTTGATGAATCCAAATGATGGCTGAAAGTAGTTGCAATATTATAATTTATGTGACTAGTACAAATAAAATGAGATAGTTTGTGCAGTTGTAGCAGAACTAGTTGTTTTGTGGGACTTGCACCTCTTGGAAACCAATCTACTTGTTATTCTTGACATCTTTGAAAAGTCAAATCAAGAATTGTTGCATGTATTTTGTTTTTGTATTTTCCGTAGGAAAGTTCTGGGACCCCTCCTCAAAAGATGCAAAAGTTATCAAAAGCAGCCAAAGTAGACGGTACTCCTAAAACCCTAGGAGTTAAGGAAGACCCTAGTGGATCTCCAAAAGCACCAAAAAATTTCTCCAGAGGAGCTTTTCCACGTATAAAGGTAAATTGCCATATTGCTTGTTAATATGATATCCTAAATGCATTACAAGTATTACACTTACTTTTAATGCAAGTCTTGCTCAAGGGTATACTATTATATATTGTAAACCGGGGTGGCTTGGGTACAGATTTTGGGCATTATCTGCTATATAAATTAATAATTTTTACAAAGTTTCATTCCAAGAAAAACAAGTTTTTTTGGTTATTTCTGACTGCCAAGATATTTATTTTATTACAATTATAACAGAGAAAAAGTGAAGACAGTCAGGTGGGGTGACTTGGGTACACAAGTCACCTTAATATTTAACCTTTTCAATGGTATGTTTCCATCTCACCCCTCCGGAGACAAATAAAAAAGTGTTAATAATTACATAAAAGTCTATAATGTAAATCTGAAGGGTTGAAGATGCCTGTTTTGGTGAGTTTATCCCTCCTGGATTCAGGAAGAACTGGGAGATTCCCTTCAACACTGTTTCTTTTGTGTGTGTGTGTTGTGGTGGGCAATCTCCCCCCCC